TCTATCAGGCTCAGTTTGAGAGTCCACAGAAATGTATCACACTTCCACCACACCTCATATGAAAGGCTAGAAAGCACCAGATAAGCTTTTAGCCAGCACAAGGTCTCAGACCAAAACATCCCATCAAACTTGTCAAGAGAAGTAAATTCCTGATTGTCTTGCAAAGATGTTTAAAAATGGACTGCTACTTTATTCCTGTTACAAAAATAAAAGATCAAGGAAGAAGAACCTGAGCATTGAGCTCCTTTGAGGAAGGATGGGAATAAAAATCTCAACAAGCAAATGGAGACAAATAGAGCCTGTCATGCAACATATTTGCTTTCTGTTAAAGTCAGAGTTTATTGGATGACTCGAGATGCTCAGAGGCCAGTTATTTGAAATGGGAACTTAATTCATCCATGAATTAGTTTCCAAGCACGAGGGTCTCTCTGACAATACTGGGTTTTGAAACCTTGCACAGCAGAGTTCACATGAGAAGCATAAGACTCTGTGCTGGCATTCAGCTTCCATGAAAGCAGGAGAGGCAAGGAAGAGAGGGGAGGGTGAATGAGGCCATGAAAGGGACCACTGAGTTCCTGACATACTTAATCAAATCGTGTTTTTTCAATGCTGAGACTTTCAGTGTCAATGAGTTTCTAGCTATCTGTTATGCAAAATTATGGGAAAATATACAGCATTACTTCATCAATGCCCTTAACAGTGTTAATTTTTTTTTCCCTAGGCCAATAAGCATTATTATAATTCCTCACTGGAGGCTCAAGAAATTAAACATGCAATTTGTGATTAATGCTTTTATTCATTGTAGTGTTCAGACTCTCATAAAGGTTTGTGCATTTGTATTTAGGAGGAAAATGTTTTCTGTGTTTGGAATTACAAGCGGTAATTAAATTGAAATTTGCTAGGGAGGGCATGAACACCCCCATTTCTAAAGTCTCCACACATGCATGCATGCACGTGCACACACACACACAGATTAAGGTTTCCTGGTTTATTTATTTAAAACATTTATAATCAAAACAGACTTGTTTGTCATGATAGCCACTAGGCACCCAAACAAATCAGGAGCTTGCTTTTCCTTTCACAAACTAGGTTCCTAAACTTAAATTTGTTGAGAATCCCAGTTTGGAGAGGCACACACACCCCAGTTCAGTCAGGCACCTGCACTCAAATACCACGGTGAATAGGAATTTGTTTCAAGGCTTTCCAAACCCAGAAGCCTTAATGGCTGTGTCTGTGTGAGGGAAGAGGGAAGGAGTGGGGGGGGGGGTTTGAATGGGTTCAACCGACTGAGTTCAGGCTAATTGTGGCAAATCTCAGTTTAACGACAGTTTATCGTAATGTCTGGATGTAGCTGAGTAAGAAGTTTAAAAATAAAGATACTATCTTGTGTGTTCATTCAAATACATCCAGCTACAAAAGGCTGTTTGAGAACCTGTGGTGGCTAAAGGCTGTTTTATTCATTCATAAAAGCAATGTACTATTTTGTTTAAGGCTACAATCCTTATCTGGGAGTAAATCCCCCTAAACTCTGTTGGATTTACTAATATGTTTAGAATCATACAGTACAACAGCAGTATAGTTAGAATGGATGATATATCCCAGAACAGACATCAAATTCCTTGTCTATAAATAAAGGAATGTTATCTCTCCCTTATATATAATTGAGTAAGACGCAGTGTCAGACACAGTGGAGAGAAAATGGGCACCAACAGTGTTTGGAGGCTTGAACTGTCCGTCAGAAGCTTCCCTAGCTTCCATTGGCCATGTTGCCTAAGTCCCACCTCAGAACACAAAGGCTGTAGCCCTGCCTCTGCACCCGGTCCCCTCAGACGTCAGACTACTGCTGACAACCACCTGGTGGGTGAGTGGAACCGGGGAGCACTTGAAGAGCGGCGGCGGTGGCGATGAGTTAGTGTGAGCTAGCTCACAGTTTTTTAGCCTCTGGCTCACACATTTTTGCTTTAGCTCAGGAAGGATGGCTCCAGAGCAAACTGATTTATGCAGTAGCCAAATCGCTCACTCACACCTTTAATACCGGTAGCTCACAAAGTAGAATTTTGGCTCACAGGACTCCAGAGCTTAGAGGTCAATTTTCAGAACATGCCTTACCAATTCTATCTAACCATTTCTCTCAGGGATTGCGTGATCAGTATCTTACATTAAAAAAAACCTTAATTATTCCTTTTTAAAAATCAGGAGAACAGGGAGGTATGCCATATCACACTCGAGAGGTCATTTTGGCTCCCCCAGGTCTTGTTGGGGGCTCTTTAAAGTTATGGCTGCCGGCGCCTGCAGCAGCGCTAATTGCAGCGGCAACGGGGGAGGGGCGTGAAATTTCCTCTCTGAGCCCCGGGGGTGGTGGCCTTGGAGTCCTAGGGGCAAATTCCACCTCTCGCGTGTGATGCTCGGCCATCACACGCTCAGCCATCACACCCAAGAGGCAGGGCCGGCTTCAGGGTTTTTTGTACCCTAGGCAAGGCTACCTTCTGACGCCCCCCCCCCCCAATACGCCCACCAATTACAGGGTTGCTAACCTCCAGGCAGGGCTGTTGGGGGGGTCATCTCTGCAGGAGGAGTCCTGATGTAATGGACTTTTATCTTCTCCTCTCTCTTCCCCCCCCCCCTTCACCTGTCAGCAGTTCTCCCGTTTGGACAATGTCTTGGTCAGGGGGTGGCTTTGAGAAGAGCGGGAGGAGGGGAAGGGATAAGCCCGAAAGAAGCTCCCCCCCTCCCATCCCATCCACTTTGCAACGAGGAGGAAGCGCGCCTGCCTGCCTGTAGCCCCGCATCTGGCCGTCCCTCCATCTCCTGCTGGGGGGAAGGCAGGAGGGGAGGGGAGAAGACTCATACAAGGAGGGAGTGAGGGAGTTGCTGCATCTCCCGCTCAGACAGCACTGCCTCCGACTCTTCTTCTTGAACCACTGGAGAGTTGGGGGGAGAGGTCAACTGACATCTCCCCCATCCCACGCTGATCAAGGCACCATGGAGTGCACACGCACTCATGAGAGCCTGGCTGGCTCGATTCCCCCACCTGCTCTCTTCGAGGTGCCCTTCTGGCCTCCAAGTTGGTGCAAAAGTTGCTGCACACACACCCGATGACCTCCCCCTCCCAAAGCCCCACCCCCTCCCTTTGTCCCTACCTGCCGAAACGTGGACCGCCCCCTGTGCAACCAGGCAGGCATCCTCCAGGCCAGACCTGCAGGAAGCCCAATGAGAGAGAGAGAGAGTTTTCCAGGAGAACCTCCAAACAGGCCTCCGAGACCAGGCGAAGAGGGAAGAGGAGGTGGGCACATGCTCCCCTTGGCACCTCAAGCCTCCGTCTGCAGGCTGGTTGGGCTTTTGGCGGGGCGCCCCTAAGGGCCTGCGCACTCTAGGCGAATGCCTTGTTCGCCTAATGAGCAGGCCCTGCTGAGAGGCGATTCTGGCTCCCCCAGGGAGGGGGCGAAATGTTCCCCCGCCTCTCTGAGCCCCGGGGGTGGTGGCCTTGGAGTCCTAGGGGCAAATTCCACCTCTCGCTGTGGTGGCCGAGCGGCGTCGCTTCAAACAAGAGATCACTATGACTACTCTCGTTTTAAATCCCCTATTTCAGCTGTGATTACTGCTACTAACTAGGAATATTCCTAACCTTAAAAGAGGACATTTTCATCCGTTTTGTTGTGTTTTTTTTTAAAGCCCCAAAGAGGACGCTAGTCTATGGGGTCGCGAAGAGTCGGACTCGACTGTGCGACTGAACAACAACAAAAAGAGGACGGACACCCAAAAAAGAGGCCATGTCGTAGCCCTACTGTTTTCTTTAAAAAATTAATCCCCACAAAACCCCTCAGTCACACCACTTTCTCCTCCTCCCACTCTCACCCCGCTTCTGGGCTCCTCCTCTTCGGGAAGACAGACGTCGAGAAGGAAGCCGAGGGAGGGCGCCTTCCTCTCCACGCCGGACTTCCTGGTTTGACGCCATGCTTCTGTCGCGTTAGGAGCAGACGAGGGAGAATTCCAGGGCTCTCGTGTGGCTGTGATTGGGCGGCAGCGTGTTGACCGACCCGCCCCCAGTAGAAGCACAGTCAGGAGTTAACAGCTCTCTTTCAGACCTCTGATTTTTAGAGAACATAGCGAGTTCTGCAATTGGAAAATTGTGACAGCTTTCTGACAAGCTGAAGAAACTGTCTCCTGATTGCTCTGTTACAATATGCCGCAGATCCAGGACTCCACCGTCACCGTGGGAGTTGGTTTGCAGCGATTTTGTAAACTGCTTTTGGAACTATTGGTTGAGACTGTAGCCTAGAATTAAGTAAATCGATGAAATCCAAACGTACTACACAGCAGACGCCGTGTTATCAAAATGCACACAACTATTTAGTGATGGTTTCGAGCCTATAGTTCAAGTCAACCTGAAATGTCATAGCGATCCTGTACAAAACACACAGAACTGCAAACGAGGCTTGCAGCGAAGGTAGATTATTGATTCCCTTTCTTTATAGTCCGCCCTCCTCAAGGCTGGCTATGCTGCCTCACATGCAGAGTTCACTTTCTGGAAAGCTGCCCTGTCACGTAAAAAGCCTCCTAGCAAGCAAGAAGAACGGGTTAAAAATTTTCGCTCAAGTTGTCTGCTAGTTTTCTATTTGGCACAGTCTTTGTGAGAAGCTTTGTCTTTATTATTTTTGGCCCCCCCCCCCCCCCCTATCTGGAAAATTTATAATCCAACACACACACAAGAATCCATCACCCGCGGTCTCAACTTCCATTTCAGTGTATCTGAAGAAGTGTGCGTGCACACAAAAGCTTATACCTCGAATAAAACTTGGTTGGTGCTAGTGGACTCAAATTTTGTTCAATCTCAAGTGGCGCAACTCATATGCGTTCTCTGCCTATTCTCCATGAGTTCTGTTCTCCAGCATGCGTGGAGCAGGCAAACACGTTAGGATCTCATCCGCTGAACTCCACAAAGCGGACCTGTTCCGACAAAACAGGAAGCGGGGGGGGGCTCTTTCTTTGACCTGCTCGCGGCGCGCGTCTCCTCGCTCTTTACCCCGCTTGCCTTTTGCCCCCGTCCCCCAGCTCCGGCTCGACTCGGCCCGCCGCCGTTCTCGCTGCGCGCCCACTGCCCAGCCATGCCCAACATCGTGCTGTTCAGCGGCAGCTCGCACCAGGATCTGTCACAGCGCGTGGCCGATCGGCTGGGGCTGGAACTAGGGAAAGTGGTGACGAAGAAATTCAGCAACCAGGAGACCAGGTATGTGGGCGCCGGGGGGGGGGGGGGGGGGGGAAGCCGGTACATTGCAGGGCTTCATGGCCCTTCCTCCCTTGGGGGGCATTCCTTGTATTTCCAGAAGCAGAGGGACCCCGGGAGGGGTAGAGATGAAGAGGAGAGGCTGCCCGTCCAACGTGCCTTTGCTTACTTACGTCGCATTAGAGAACCTCAGGGAGCTATTCCTTCCTGTGGTCTAGACTCTGGTGGCCTCGGAAGCAGACATGGAAAGGGTGGGGGGGGGGGGGCCGACCCTCAAGAGTCCCAATGCTGCCGTCCTGGTCGTGGGGCCTGGCAGCCGGGCTCAAAGCCTCGAGGAGTAATTAATCTGAATTAAAATAATACAGGGGCCCACTAGCACCTTATATACTAACAGGTTCCATTTCTGCATGAGGGAGTCGGTGGTAATGCTCAAACACATTACCCCGTTCAATCTATAAAATAACCTCAAAGCAGAACAAGCAAATGAAAATTCAGGTTCTCCTGCACTATTGCTTGCCCTTTGGCTCTTTCTGAAGGCTGCATTCTACCATCACCTCTGTGGGTTTCAGTCTGTTCTGCGCATGACACCTCAGCAAACCTGGATCTGTCAGCCAAGGAGCAGCAGTTGCCACTACCATCTCCCGTGGGGCCTGTCTGAATGATGCTTGTGTTTGTCATATGCAGGGGTCTTGTTGTAGAAAAAGAGCTGCCGGAGCTCATTAGCATAACTCATTAGCATAACTTATTTGCATATGCCACGCCCCCTGACATCAGCGGAAGTGACAGAAGGCCACACCCCCTGACATCACCGGAAGTGTGTCAGGAGGCCCGGCTACTTTCCCTCCTGCTTCATCCTCATTCCCAAACGGAATGAGGATCGAAGCAGAGGGCGGGGTAAAGAAGGGGGCGGGGCTTCACCACGTGACCGCCCCGCCCCCTAGAGGTTCTCTTCCGGAGCTCCGTACCTGAGAGCTCCCCCCCGACTAGAGCCCTGGTCATATGCATGTCTTTTTGTATCTGTCTGTGTGTCTGCCTCCCTCCCTCTCTGTCTGTCTGTCTGTCTGAATGAAACACCTGTTATATAAACCCAAGAAATATATTGCGTAGTTATTGTGAGTTATTGTGACTTAAGCTTTAACAGGGTAGAGCCCACTTCATTGGATGTGACTGAAGAGAGATGCGTGCATATAGAAGGGGAAAACATTATGTGTCAATCAGCCCTCTATATAGAGTATTTGCCCGTTTTGCTATCTCCTTGCCATTAATTCAAAACATGCACAATTCCCAATATGTTTCCTTTTGTACAATGTGTTAACAAACCCAGAGACTCTACCATGCCTTGGTTTTCTAGTAATCCACCAGTGAGCTCTACCTAACTCCTAATCTTTGCTTCACCTATAAGCATGGCTGAAAGTTGGCAAGTGTATGCCCTTTTCTTCCACTTTGATAAACTTGATCATGAGTAGGGCAGAAGAGCGCTCCAGAGGTACTGCTGAATTCAAGATTCCGCCAGCAAGAACCCTGTGGGTCCTTTTTGGTGACTGGGTATCCTTACGTGTGGCAGTGGAAATGAAATGTCCCTTTCATATCTATAGGGAAGCCGCCTGTCTGAAAAGTATTTTGCAGTTGTGTGTAAATCTGCATTTACTTTTGTACTGGAGTATATATACTCAAAGCAGGGTTGTGGCACAGCTTTGGTTGACTAGCAAAGAATGAACAGGGTTCAAAGCCCATGGGATAAGAAGCCAAATTTGTTTTGTCCTTTTCTTTCAATTTCCCTTAAGCCTGCTCAGAAGCAGAATGAAATCTGAAGGGAGTCTTTTTGAGTTGGAAATAGGTAATTTTAATCTGTATGGCCTTTTCAGATAAGCCTTCCAAGCATCATTATCCTTAAGCTGAAGAGAATCATAGAGTTGGAAGGGACCTCCAGGGTCATCTAGCCCAACCCCCTACACAATGCAGGAAATTCACAAATACCTCTCTCCTACACACAGTGACCCCTGCTCCATGTCCAAAAGATGGCAAAAAACCTCCAGGATCTCTGGCCAAACTGGGCTGCAGAACAATTGCTTCCTGACCCCAAAGTGGTGATCAGCATTTCCCTGGGCATGTAAGAAAGGGCCAGAAGAAATTAGTACTGTTGCAATCCTTCCTGCCCTCCCTCTCGTGATCTGCCTAAGTTCACAGAATCAGCATTGTTGACGGATGGTCATCTAGCCTCTGTTTGAAAATCTTCAAAGAAGGAGAGCTCACCACCTCCTGAGGAAGCCTGTTCCACTGAGGAACCGCTCTGTCAGGAAGTTCTTTCTAATGTTTAGCTGAAAAGTCTTCTGATTTCATTTTGACCCATTGGTTCTGGTCCGACCTTCTGGGGTAACAGAAAACAGCTAGCTGGGGGCGGGGCCACGGTCATCTGAGGGAAAACTCTATGGTTTTCCCTCAGATGGTCATGGCCCCGCCCCCAGCGTGCCTGGCATGGTTGCGTCACTTCCGGGTGATGTAGTTGCGGTGCACGCGCACTTGGTGCACGCACGCTCCCAGAGCAACCCTGGAGTCTCCCGCTCCAGCGCCGCTCGGACTTGGGAACCCTAATACTAATGCCAAGACAAGTCTCCTCCATCCTATAATTATGCATTTGATTTTTCTTGCCTAACTGCAGAACTTTACATTTATCCCCATTGAAATTCATGTTATTTGTTTTAGCCCAGTTTCCTGTCAAGACTGTCCTATATCCTGACTTTGTCTTCTACTGTATTTGCTACCCCTCCCAATTTAGTATCATCTGCAAATTTAATAAACATGACCTGTATTCCTCTATCCCTTCATCCAAATCATTGATAAAGATGTTGAACAAAACAAGTCCCAGGACAAATCCTCGAGGCACTCCACTTGTCACTCCTCTCCAAAAGAGTAAGCAACCATTAACAAGCATTCTTCAGGTGCAATCTGCCAACCAGTCACAGGGCCACCGAACAGTAATAGGATCCAAACCACATTTTACCAACTTGTCAACAAGAATATTATTATCTTAGTTTTCTCTGTGCTCAAATTGTGGTAATTTATTTTTGGAAAATTAGATTCTTCCATCAGATAACTCTACCAAATGTGACTGTGATGTAGTTGAGGCTGTGAGATTATTGCAGGACCTTCACACAATGGATGATGTGTAGCAGAGCTCTTTTCCCATATCCATCTGTACTATTTTATGAAGATTCTGAGATATGCTGGACAGATAGGCTGGAGTTTAACACTCCGGTGCAAGGACGTTTATCCAGCAATCTTCTTTAAAAAGGAGGGGGATGGTAAGGTGAGGCCTTTTGTAGTAATAAATATGCAGAACAACAACTACAGGTATGTCTCTTTTGCAAAAAGGCCTGTAAGAACTGAGGGAATATGAGGAAGGAGGAGGATAGTAGAGCATAACTAGTAGTTTGCAGTATAATTTCTGTGGAATCTAAGAATGTATAATGTGTGTTTTTGAGCGATTTAATGTTAACGCTCCAAACACTGTTTTTAAAAAGTTTCCCTGATTGCAGTGATTTACCTTAACTAGTGTCTCAATTAGAACTCTGATGCTAATCAGTATTAATCCAGATCTGGTTAGGCTGCATCCTGCAAAGTTCCCTGTTATTGCTCTTGACTTTAGATTTAATGCACATACTCCTGTACATGTTGTTTTAGGGATAATTTTCTTTCTGCCCCTCTTTGATGTAAAGTGTGCACCTTGGTGACATAAAATGAGAAATGAGGACAGTGAAGGCATACAGCCCACAAAGCTGCTAGTTCTCTGTTTCCCAGATAAGTTTTCCTAGGACATGTGTCACTTGCTTTGTAAAGCTGAGAGCCTCTGTGTGAGTACTAATAGATACTCAATGTACATTGTACAGTAAATAGCATTATAAGCTGGATTTATGATATGGCTGCTGGGATTCTTGGAGTGTTGATTCTAAGCATATATACTTGGAAGAGAGCCTCATTAATAAGTTCTCCGGAGTTTAGTCTTCAGCTGTCATCGATTGACGTATGGTGCTGCAACATCTTAACTTGTTCCTGCCTCCTTAAATTTTCCAGCATGTGATCTGGGTGAACATGCACAGTATGAACTAAATCACCTCTGCGTTTGGCTTGAGCAAACAAAAGAGGCAAGCTGCTGGTGTTTCTTTAAACATAAAAATCCCCAACGAGAGTGATGGCTACAGGGGATATGATGGTGGCTGTGAAAGCCAAGAAGAACAGAAAGAACCGAGCTAAGGAGCATGTACTTTATTGGGCTTGTTTTTCTGATTTTGAATTTTTGATACTGTGAGCACCCCCTATCACTTTGATCGGTTCCACTCATGTGACTGTTTCTTCTTTTGCAAGATCACAGGATTTCTGTACTGTATTTATTGCTGCCTTTTTTTTCTTTTTAATAGGAATAACTACTGACACTTGATTAGCAAATGCATGTGTGTTGTTGCACACTCCATGCAAAATGAGCAGGTCACCCATAGGGTTGCCAAATTAAAATTTCCTACCAGCGGGGGATCGTCTGGCCGGTCCGGGAGTCGCTCGGGGATGCGTGCGTGCGCGCGCTTTGCGCACGCGTGCCGCCAGGACGTCACCAGAAGTGACGTCACACGCTGGGCGGGGCCACGCCGTTTGAGGGGAAAACTCTTTGTTTTCCCCTCAAACGGCATGGCTCCGCCCCCAGCGTGCGACGTCACTTCCGGGTGATGCGCATGCGGGGGTGGGTTTTCCCCCGGGCCCCGATTCCGGCGCGCCGGAAATCGGGGCTCCGAAGCGGGGGATTCCCTGCCCCCCGGCTGCATTTGGCAGCCCTAGTCACCCATAGCATCAGCCCCGAAGGGATTTACGATCTGCCAACCAACATCTTCTGGTGGTCCCCGGCCCCAGGGACGTCCGTCTCACATCGACTAGGGCCAGGGCCTTTTCAACCCTAGCCCCTACCTGGTGGGATGAGCTCCTATGAGATCAGGGCCCTGTGAGAACTTTTATAGTTC